GAGGGTCAAGTGTTTAAAAAAAAAAAAAAAAAAGTAAATTAGAATATTTATAATTTTTATTAGATAAAAATAGATTTAGAATAGAGTGCTAGAGTTAGAGGGCCAAATGAAGATGAAAGAGATGTGTTTTTAGCCGATTCTTGAAGATGGCTAAGGACTCAGCTGCTGGGATTGAGTTGGGCAGGTCATGCCACCAGGAGGGAACAGTTAACGTAAAAGTCTGTGAAAGTGATTTTGTGCCTCTTTGAGATGAACAATAAAGCAATGTTCACTTGCAGAACGCAAGCTTCTAGAGGCACATAAGTCAAATAGTCAATAGAGGTAAAGGGGTGCAGAGCCAGTGGTGATTTTGCAGGCAAACATTAATGCCTTGAATCCTGCCAAGAGAGCATTGCAATAGTCCAGCCTGGACAGAACAAGAGCTTGAACAAGGAGTTGTGAAGCATGTCCTGAAAGAAAGGGCCTGATCTTCCTAATGTTGTATAAAGCAAATCTGCAGGACCGGGCAGTTTTAGCAATGTGGTCTGAGAAAGTCAGCTGATCATCAATCATAACTCCAAGGTTTCTGGCTGTTTTGAAGGATTTATGGAGTGTTAAAAACAGTGGACAGGTATTTTATATTTTATTATAGAATTTTGGTGGGATTTTTGGCTGAAGCACCTGTAAATTTCTGACCCTGATTTGCACAGATAAACAATAAATATATACAACTGGATATAAAAAGAAGAAAATACAATTACTCAAATCAGCCACCTTCAGCTGAAACAACAGCAGAACACAATGGATATCAAATATCATTCCCAACAGTGCTGCAGAATTTTCCCTTCTGTCCAGTTCATACTAAGGCAGCTGGATGAGACTGGTTGTTGTGGTTGTTAACCAATTGCATTCTGTTTGCAATCTGTGGTGTTAAATATCATGTGCATCTCTGTTGTGAAGTCGTGCTGGCCCACCTTCAGCTGAAACAACAGCAGAACACAATGGAAATCAAATATCATTCCCAACAGTGCTGCAGAAGTTTCCCTTCTGTCCAGTTCATACTAAGGCAGCTGGATGAGACTGGTTGTTGTGGTTGTTAACCAATTGCATTCTGTTTGCAATCTGTGGTGTTAAATATCATGTGCATCTCTGTTGTGAAGTCGTGCTGGTGCTTGTGCGTTACTGAAGTTTGCGAGAGTAAAAGGAGAACTTAGTTGAACCACTGGCTCTGTGTCTTTTGGTTTATTGTCGTCTGCTACCGGCTAAACAGCAGCTCTACCTCATGTTTCAACCCGCTTGACAGACTACAACATATGATGCAGCGTCATAAACCACCCTGTGTTTGTTTGCTTAGTCCAGAGGAGAACCAGTATTGAGAACTGTTATTGAACTGAACAATCAACACGAACTGACTGGAGCTGAAATTTGACACTGTCTTGTTAGAGCTGCTTTACAGCAGAATTTGATTAGGTTTGCATAATTTATTCTGTTATTTTCCTGTTTATCTCTGTGAAGCTGCTTTGACACTATAAAGCACTAGAGAAATAATGGTGACTTGACTAGAACATAACACTGGTCATTCAATGATCTGAAGCCTTTTTATTTATCTAACCAGAAGACCAGCCAGATAAATGATGGCATGGTAAGACGCTCTGGGACTGTTTTTGGTTGTTTCGTTGCACAAAACCACAGAGACAAACAAACAGACTGACCTATAGCAGAAGAGTGTGTGTGTGTTTACTAACCTTCGCTGTGTTCTGACCCCCCAGAGTCTGATCCTGACTCGCCCTCTTCCTCTACCTCACTCTGACTGCTGGACTCTTCTTCATCATTCTCCTCACCTTCCTCATCCTCAGATCCAGAGCCTGACAAAACAAACACAGAGTCAACCTGCATCTCTCTCACATACATACACACACACAGAGAGAGAGAGAAAGAGATATACCCATCGATGAGTCTGGTGTGCTGGTCTTCCTCTCACTGTCACTGATGTCCTGTAGCTCAGACAGGGGGTTTTTATCATCCATCATAACCTCCCGCACTGCAAACACAAACGAAACAATGAGTCACGTCACCTTTTTTTGTACAGTGCTTTATACAATACAGTTTGTGTCAAAGCAGATTCACTGTGATAATCAGGAAACAACAGAAGCTCAAAACTCAACTATAAGGACATTAGGACACTGTAACATTTAAACATCTGTAAATATTTTTAGGAAATGTGCCTTTCAAATAAATGTGACATGCAGAATAGGGCTGGGCAAAATGGACTAAATGAAGTCGATTCGATAACGATTCTCAAAAGCCGTGAATCTTTTTTTCCGGTATTTATTTCAGCAAACATTTAACACAAGATCTGATTAACGTGAATCTTATTATTAGTCTTCTCCACTAGATGTCACCCTCTTATTTACCTTGCGCGATGTTACAACAGAAATCCTGTCATTCGTTCAGTGATTATCATGGCGGAGATACTGTTGACGAACTAAGAACAAAGCAATAGGCGTGATTTGCAATGCTCAGGTGAAATGCTATAGTAATACTACAAATCTGCGGAAGCATTAGACATCACGCATAAGACACTATGATTTCCGCAATGAATGAATGGCGGATGGCACAGACGCACAGAAACTGACAGAAATATATTGTGCAGTCTTGATACTCAATTTAACAACCATACTATTACTACTACTAATAATAAATATTAATAAAACGTTATTTTTAAAAGAAAAATCACATTTGTTTTCTTTTTAATTTTAACAGTACACCTCTGTTGTGGAGCACTTTGTTTGCCAAAAATGAAAAAAATGTATTTTCATTTGATTAGGAAAACTTTAATGTCTTATGCCTTCATTTGATTACCAGAAACATTAAGAAAAACATTTTATAGGGCCCTATTATGCTTTTTCACTTTTTAAATTTTAGTCAGTGTGTAGTGTGTATGTTTGGGCATTAAAAAGATCTAGAAAGTTACAAATCTCAAAGTCCACTCCAAAGGGAGATATTTCGTTTTTAAAAAATCCCTTTTCAAGAACTACAACGAACGGCTCGTTTGGACTACAGCGTTTGTTTTCCGGGCTTTGTGATATCAGCTAACCAATCACATCACATTTCGTTTTACGGAAGGCGGACCTTCATCAAACCCGGAACTAATCGAGCCGTTTGTGCGAGGATGGGGAGAAAGTTATTGTAATAATGTAAATGATGTGAAAAATAATGCATTTTTCGAACCACCAAGCATGAGAGCATGTTCTAGTACACCCCCAAAACAAATTCAAGACATTGTAAAAGAACATAATAGGACCCCTTTAAAAAAAATAACAGTTTTAAAATACAGGTGTGTGGTTTTTAACTTCTTTTTATTAATTCACCATTTGCACACTGATGTTTACTGTATTTTTTAGAAATATCAATAGCATTTGTATTAAAACCATATTCACTGAATGTAATCAAAAAAACGAGACTCAAATCGAATCGGGACATCTGAATCGATACCCAGCCCTAATGCAGAATTTATCTTCAGGATATGCAATGAAAGCTGATAATAGTCTATTGGCTGTGAGACTGCAGTTCAACACGGAAATCAAGCAGATGTATTAGACGTGAAGTGTAGTGCTGATGTATGTAGAAGAGGAAGACTGAGTGTGTAACCTCGGCGTTGTTCGCTGCTCTCTGCTTTGATCTCTCTCTGCTGGCGAGCAGGGCTGCGACTGCGACTGCGGTGACGCGAGCGCCCTTTATCTGCATACTCGTCTGCAGGAGCTCCTCTGTGATGAGACACAGGCCCTGGAACACAGTCAGCGGTGCATTAGTCCTGCGGAGCCTTAGGGCCCCAGGAATTAATTTTGTTTTTTGTATGGATTCCATTTTTAATGCTTTAATTAAATGTAAATAATTAAAAAAGATATCTTTGACACTTTGACAATTTAAAGGTAACATATCATGAAAATCGGACTTTTCCAGGTTTTAAGTGCTATAATCAGGTCCCTGGTGCATCTACCAACCAAGAAAATGTGAAAAAGATTAATTCAGTAACCAAAATAGGCATTTTCAAAATGTTATAATAAATGATCTGTGGGGTACTTTTAGCTGAAACTTCACAGATACATTCTGGGGGCACCAGAGACTTATATTAAATATTGTAAAAAAGGGCATAATAGGTCTCCTTTAATAAAATGTTAACTACAATAGGGCCTGTGAAATGTTTTATTTTTCATAAATACTGTTATCTGTTTTAATCTTTCACATATTTATGATTTAATATAAATTTATTCCAAAAACAGTGGTAATCAAATAAAGTAGGGATGCACGATATTATCGGACTGATATCAGAATCAGCCGATAATGGCTTAAAATGTAAATATCGGCATCGGCAAAAATTATGCCGATATGTCTTGCTGATAAGAGGATTAACTCACACGTGCTCAGGGTGTGCTAGCAATTAGATCAAGTCAGCAGTGTGGTCATTCTTGACGTGAAATCTTGCCTGAATAAATAATGCAGTATTAATGTCATAAAATCATGAGTGTGTTTTGATTTAAAGGTCAGAAGCTATAGCTTACACATGAATAAAAAATAAAAAAAATCACAAACATGACTTGTAAATTAAATAATTTTATATATGCAGATTTATTCATTAATGTGTAATAGGCATGGAACGATTACCGGTTTCACGATAAATCACGATAAAATGCCTGACGGTTAGTATTATCGTTTAAAATTTAATTATCATCAAAACCGTGTTTGATTATCGCCATTTTAAAAACTCGCGGTAAATCCTGTCCAGCCAGCATCAGTCTGACGCAGACGCAGCATGCAGTGTTGTTGTTGTTGTTTTTTGCACGAGACGAAATGGCGGAAGGCAGAGACAGCGCTCGGGAGATTTTTCAGCCATCTAAGAGGACCAAATCGGTGGTCTGGTCGTATTTTGGCTTTTACAAGAGTCCTGAAGGCAATTTAATCGAGGACGGTCACCCTGTCTGCTGATCTTGCAAGAAGAAAGTCGCTGCAAAAGGGGGAAACGCATCAAATTTGCTCAGTCATCTTCGTGACCACCACCCACTGTATAGCGAATGCAAGGTAACTTTTACATCAATACAGCCTTTTTCTGCAAGCGTCTGAGAAAACGAGCACATCTGATTTCGCTCCCCTAGTGACGTGGCAAAGGGATCTCATTATAATATTACCGCCCCTTAATCTGTAAGTTTACACCCACGCCACCGCAAGCAACAACGGTGTACCAGCTTTAATGCCATGGTGAAAGTTTGAGCAAAACATGATAACTGTTTGGCTGCACAAATGAGCACAGAACACTGTTTAGAGTCCCAGCCTCAGAGACAACAGAGCAGTGCATTTATTGATTTATTTACTGTATAATGCTGCTGCCACACAGATCTAAAATAAACATGCAATTTATTTCCCAGCTGTTTACCTTCACAGACATAACCTAACCGACTGTTTTTGTAACTCGTGTGTTTTTAACGTAAACTTGTGTGTGAATGAGAACTTAGTTTAGTACTCACATGCTGTGACAGCCGCTTTCTGTGCGTGTGCTTCGGATGTGTGCGCTCAGAAAACCGTAGATGTGGTTTAAAACGCATGATTTCAGCGCGATAAACATGATAATCAGAACCAAAACAGATGTCTTTAGCAGGTCCGAGCTGTAATGGCGCAGCTCTATTCTGGAAAAGGGGGCGGGGAGCAGCAGCTCATTTGCATTTAAAGAGACAGGCACGAAAAATTTTCAATACAATCAAAAACTGAGACGCAAGCTGCATTTGAATGAAACGAGAGAGCGCGTCTGCGCTTCCGCGGTGATACAAGAGACATGGGGCGAATTCCAAACAGAAGTGAGCATCCCTATGCCCTACTCCCTTCGAAGGGCAGAGCCCTTGAAGTGTGTTCTTTGAAGGGTGCAGGGTATTACTGTCTCGTATAAGCGTTTGAATCTCCCTTGGCGAAGGGAATGACTGACCAAATGTTACCTTGGCAACGCTGCGCGTGCGTGCAGCATTCTGTACTCCATCAGTTGTTGCAAATAAATATTTATTATTATTATTATTATTTTATTCAAATATTGTCTAATTGTCTTATTTACTATTAAACGTTTTCAAACTAAACTTGCTTACACTACCGTCTTAAATCATATTTCTATCACTGACGAAAAATGTTGTCTTACATTAAAATAGACTAATTTAATTAGCCTATTCTATTTATGTTTGTATGTGAACTCGAAATCAACCCCAACTTTGCTTTAAAAAGCATCACAAGATCTCCTAACCGAAGATCACATGATCACAAGTGGAAATCACATTGTATACATATATATGTGATTTATTATTATTATTATTATTATTTCTATTATTAGGGCTTCATGTTAATGTTAATTTAATGTTTATGCTAAAAAAAAAAGTGCATATAGCTGCTAATTGTATTTGTTGTTTGTTGATTTTCAAATATAAAACTTATTGAAATGTTTTCAGTGTGTGTATCAGTTCTTTTTGAAAATGTTCATCTAATTTTAACAAAACCGTGATAATATTGATAATCGTGATAACTTTGGTCACTATAATCGTGATATGAAATTTTCATACCGTTACATCCCTAATGTGTAATATGTTTTGTTTTTTTTAAACGAATTATGAGCTCTAAAAGATTTTCAGAATTTTTACAACTCTTTTGCCTTAGACCACCTACAAATGTTAAATCATAAAATAATATTTTAAGGTTGCCATTGCATCTTTCTGGAAAAAAAATGCAGCGATTGATATATATATATAGTTGATTTATAATTATTTTCAAAGCTTTCAATGTACTGTCATTATAAAATAACTTAATTGTTTAATTCTAACAAGTAAGTTTTTGTTAAAAATAATTTGTTTATAATTTCTGCACAGGAGAGATGTTGTTTCCAAACAAAAGGAAATATATCGGCATCAGCATCGGTTATCGGCAAAAATATCGGCAAAAATCCAATATCGTGCATCCCTAAAATAAAGGCATAAGACATTAACAATTTAATTAAATTAAAATGTAACGTCTAAATTAACTCATATAAATTAGGGCTGCACGATAAATCGCATGCGATATTTAACGCGCATCTTATCAGTAAAGCCGGTTCTGTAATCAGCGGTAAATCTCCATCACGTGCGGGCTTTCACATTGAGCAGCATTAACTACACAGAGCCGTTGTTCACTGATGAGCTGCGCAAAAAATCGCGCGAATATGAACGTGGTTTTGCGCAGCTCGTCAGTAACTTTTATAAAGAATATCTCTTTGGTTTTGAGACTTTAGTCTTTGCAACTTTACAGATCTTCTTTATGCATCAAGAGCTTGTAACACTCCAAAGAGAAAGGAAAAATTGAAATCGCATCATATGACCCCTTTAAAATGCAACAACGTCACTTACATCATTATCACTGCATATCACTGATGACGCTCCGATGCACACCTAACATTCAAATGCAAATGTTTATTTTAAATTCAACTAATATTCATTTTTTTATTCACAATCTCCTCATCGCAGGCACAGCACTCATTTCAGCATGTGTTCGTGTTCGTGTGTGCTGTCTGCGTCACTCATAGCACGTGCCTATATCGTGCACTATATCGAACATTTTTCCTGTCGTTATCGAAGAAGGTGTACCGTCGATAAATATCGATACCGTTTTATCGGCCAGGCCTAATATATATGTACTATATATGATTTCTGTCATAATTTCTTGAAGTTACACTGAACTTTTATCTTGGGGGGTACATATTCTGTGCTGTTGACGTACCGTCCCTGCGGGCGTCCCTCTCTTTGCGGCGCTCCTCTTCTCTCCTCTCTCTCTCCTTCAGCTCGCGCTGCTCTCTCTGCTCTTTCTGCTGCTGCTCACGGAGTTTGCGCTCTCTTTCCCGCTGGCGCTCCTGCTGCTCCAGACGATCCCTGTGGATTCACATGAACACACAGGAGTCAGGACCAGCCATGCTCCTGTCATCAGGCTAAAGACCAGAGACCTTCACATCAGCATGAGACCAGACGCTTCATACTACCGCTGACTGACAGATCAGCAAAACAAGCTTTCTGACTTTCAACATTCAACAGGCTGATGACAACAACGTCCTTCAACTGATGACAACCAAAATCTTGCATCATATGAAATGCATTTACCATAACACACACACACACACACACTCTCTCACTCACACACTCACACACTCTCTCACTCACACACGATCATTCAAACGTTTGTGAAAGAAGTCTCTTTTGATCATCAAGTCTGCATTTATTTGATCAAAAACAGTAAAAGTTGTGAAATAGTTACAATTTAAAACAGCTGTTTTCTATGTGAATATCTGTTAAAATGTAATTTATTTCTGTGATCAAATCTGAATTTTCAGCATCATTACTCCAGTCTTCAGTGTCACATGATCTTCAGAAATAATTCTAATATACTGATTTGCTGCTCAAGAAACATTTCTTATCATCAATGCTGAAAACAGTTGTGCTGCTGAATATTTTTGTGGAAACTGATACATTTTATTTTTCAGGATTCACAGATGAAATTCAAAAGAACAGCGTTTATTTGAAATAGAAATCTTTTGTCACATTATAAATGTCTGTACTGCCACTTTTGATCAATTTAATGCTTCCTTGCTGAATAAAAGTATTTATACATTTTATTTATTACATTTATTTTAATTTAAGTATTAATTTCTTTCTCCCCCTTATTTATCCCAAACTTTTTAATTAGTTCATCATCATAAGTTCCACAAAAATATTAAGCAGCAAAAACTAATTACTGATTTTGATAATAATGATTTTTTCACAGCATCACTGTTTTTAATTTATTTTTGATAATATAAAGGCAGTGTGTGTGTGAGAGAGAGTGTGTTTGTGTGTGCGCGTGTATGAGAGAGTGTGTGTGTGTGTGTGTGTGTGTGAGAGAGAGAGTGTGTGAGAGAGTGTGAGTGTGTGTGCGTATAGACCTGCCAACCTATGATTTTTTTTTTTGAGTACCATCAGTGTGACTGGGGGGGGAGTTAATTGAAGACAAAATGTGTTTTACTGAGAAAAAACAAGATTTGGTTTTTAAAAAGCCTTTTTCCAAAAGGTACATCTGGAAAAAGGGGGGTCGTCTTATAATCAGAGTCGTCTTATATTCGGGCCAATAAGGTATTATTTTTATAGATTGGCCATTATTTAGTGCTATGAACACGTGTAATGTCGGTTTCATTCATACTGGATACTAGAGGACACCCCTGCGCAGAAAGTCCACATATGCATCACCGAAGAAATAGCGCTCACGATGCTCCAGGAAATCCCTAATATGGACAAAAGCAGCTATCGCTGTAACTGAATGAAAGAAGACAGGAACGCTTTTAATGATGACATGCAAAGAGAACATTAAGACAATAAACACTCAACAGTGACAATGTTTATCTGTGTTCTTAAAACCACCTCGGTTTGCTACATTACTTGAAGCTCCTTGATGGCTAATGTCAAAATCGTAAATCGTAAGGTGCAAAATTCTAGACTTCATGTTAAATATTTTTCATAGGTTAGTACTCAGAGTCTGCACTCAGTTTGTGATATTCCTGTTATACAGTATTTTAGAGTAAACAGTAGGAATGCAACAATACAGTTAGCCCAAGGTTCAATAAAGTTCAGTTTTTTAACCACAGTTTTCAGTTTGGTTCTGATGGTTTGGCACACAACAGAGTTCTTTTTAGCGATTTTAAATGCTATTTAAAAAAAAAAAAGCGCTCACGATGCTCCAGGAAATCCCTAATATGGACAAAAGCAGCTATCGCTGTAACTGAATGAAAGAAGACAGGAACGCTTTTAATGATGACATGCAAAGAGAACATTAAGACAATAAACACTCAACAGTGACAATGTTTATCTGTGTTCTTAAAACCACCTCGGTTTGTTGCTGCCGTGTGTTTTGAGTTTGAGCTCCGTCAAGTTAACTCCTTGTCGTCTAATTTTTTATCTTAAAATCAATTTTATACACCACTTTCGTTTCTATAACGTGTGAATATATCCCCTATCGTATTCTACAACAAAAACAAACAGAGCGCCTTGTTATCACTAGTTTTATTTTGATTTCCCGAGTCCGCTATTAGCAAATAGCCCGCTAGCATCGCCAGCGTGGTTGCCGCTAATCTCGCTTACATTACTAATACTCTATTCACACACATTACCATTGTTTTACTCACTGTTACATGCTTTAATGGCGGATGTGTGTCTACCTTTGAGGGCAGGTGAGGACACGTTCGAGCTGCATTCGGTGCAGCTCGAGCTGGAAACATCCCAGGCTGACGCTCACAAGTCCGAGGTAAGTATACA